ACGACAAGAAAGGAAGGAAGGAAGGAAGGAAGGGTTTTTGAAGTATGAGTAAAGGTGTTCGACCAGCACACACCACTCTTACTTTGCAATCCTATCCTATCGGCTTATTAAGTTGCTACCACGAAGTATATATTGCAGGTACGGGAGCAGTACTATAATTCCCTGGGTTATACTGTACTTTAGATGGTACTAAAGTCCCCCTATCAGACAGCGAGCAAAGCAAGTGGATAAGTAAGAGTACGAAGTCGAAGGGAATGGAAACACCCAGACATTTTAACTCTCTCTCTCTCTATATATATATATATACGTATATGTTGTTAGTAGTATACTTGCTTGTTCTTTGTACGAATAAAATAGTATTTGTGGTGTATGCATGCATGTATGTGTATAACTAAGTCTATGGGTTAACTTGGCGTGTGAAAGAGAGAGAGAAAGAGAGATGCATAAAACTGATAGACTACAAATCTTCTTCGTTTTCGATCTTATTCTCCATCTTTTACCTTAAACTCGCGTGGTTTGGTTCGTTCATTCGTATAGAGTAGTAGACCACAGAGATAAATTGTTTTGATGGTGTGGGTGTGGGGKGTGTGTGTGTGTTCCTTTTGCTCAAAAGTTTTGCGATATTTCCAACGTTAGTTAAAATTAGTGGAGTTTATACCCCATCCTCAACGAAATTCTGATAATGCTATCTCTTCTGTCGTACGATGGGGCTGACTGGTTTGGTTAGCTTGCCCACACTCTCTCTCTCTCTCTCTCTCTCTCTCTCTCTCTCTTTCTCTCTTCTTCTTTTTCTTCTTCTTCTCTTTACCATCCTTTTCTCTACTACTATTTTCTCTATTCCCCTTCTACCATCTCTTTCTCTCATACGAATGCAAACATTCCTTATCTCTATGTGTATATGTGACTGTGTTATATGTATATATGTAAGTTTAAATGTACGTGTTAACTCATAGAGTACGTATAACCCATCCACGAGTTAGTAGTAGAGTAGTAGTAGAGTCATGTATACTAATCTCTCTATCTCTTTTCCATCATCATTCTAATTTCTAGTTCTATCTTCATTCAAGAAAATATCTTCTTCCTAACCAAACCCCAGCTTACTTTTAATTGGAACGATACGCAATTTCTTGATTTTTTTTTCTTTCCTTGTCGAAAGTTTTTCAAGCTTTATTCGATCATCTGCAACTCGAGTGCACGTTGATATACCTTTGAAAATTTATTGCTAGTACTTTAATTATGGTTATTAACGATTTTAACTTTGATAATTATCGAGATAGTGAATGACATACTGACTACTATATTAGTTTAACGATATTAGTTTTTAAGAGACGAGATAGGAGAGATATAAATCATTGTTGATAGATGAGATAGATAGATAGATATATGAACTATTTTTGAAGAGAGAAATTAGTAAAGATAATCCTATATGGAATAAGCTACTTATATTTTCTTTTCATATCTACATGTCAGATTATAGATTTTTCGTCTAAGATTTAGCTTAACTTTTTTTAACTAAGTTAAGCTCAAATCTTATATTTTGTAATATGAAAAATGATTTTTCTTATAGTAAAAAAAAAAAAAAAAAAAANAAAAAAAAAAAAAAAAAAAAGAAAAAAAAACGAAGAATAAAATGAAATTTAAAAAAATGATTAATTCGATTTATTTTTCAAAACTGACATCATTACATAAGAAGTAACTTTGTTATATAATATAAGAAATAGTTATTCAAGTTTGAAAATAGTCATATCTCTTCTTACTTTCTTACTTTCCTTACTTTCTTCCTTCCTTCTATTTTTTTCTCTCTTGTTTTATTTTTGAAATGAGAAGAAAAAAAAAAGAAAGAAAAAAAAAGTAAAGTAAGAGAAGTGAGTAGACAGAAAGACTTGGAAAGATTACTTACACAGGATCCTATCGGACTCGGATAAAACTTCTTTAATTATCGTCGCTCCAATTTTCTACCCCCATCCCTCACCCTCCACCTCTTCCCTTCCTTCTCTTCCTTTTCCTACTCTCAGTTCGCGGAAATGCTTAATGGGAGAAAACGAAGGGATCGCTCGAAACTATTAGTAGAAAACAGAAACGATTTAAAGAGTTCTCTTGATTTGTATAAAGCTATGCCGTAGGATACAATCGTGAAGCGAGAATAAGAATAAAAATAAGAAGAATAAGAATAAGAAGAATAAGAATAAGAAGAATAAGAATAAGAAGAAGAAAATCTCGTTAACGAAGCAATAGTATTTTACGAATAATGACGACTCAATTTTACTTTAACTTTTCAATATTTTCTCTTATTACATTTTCTTATTCGTTTCGTATTACTATGAATTCCATTTCATTAACATTATTTTATCTGAATTTAAATATTTATTTTTTTTCTCTTTTTTTTTTCTAAGAGAACAATTGTGTGTTGTTATTTTTTTCTTATACACTCATTAAGCACAAACGAAAATTAATAATAATTTGTTAAGTTTCATTTGGTACTTCTCTAAAAAGGTACACCATATGTTTATTAATTTTTTGAAACATTGAACGAAGCATGTGTGTTCGTCAATATTACAAATTATTTTTTTTTTTTAATAATTATATAAATCGTATCAATATTTAATATTTTTATTTTTGTTAGGAAACTAAACTACGAGTATTACAAATTTCAATACAAAAAAGATATCTCACCTTAAATTACGAGAAAACAAATGATCTCATTTTTCACCATACTCAAGCCACCCCGAGTGGTGTGGATAAAAAGCAAAAGAAAAAAAAAAGAAAACAAAAAGAAAGAGAAGAGAAAATTATGTAATAAAAATTCCAAGAACGTTGGGAAAACCATCGTACCACGAAGAGAAGATACACTCAAGAATGTAAGTTGGTAAAGCAAAGTTTCTCAGATTTTCTACGACGTGTCAAGAGAAAGATCCAAGGTAACGCGATGCCTTATCCCCGAGATTGAATCTAAACAGGCATTTCACGACGTTTGTTTGCTACGATAAACTAGACGAACTAAAAATAGGTGAATAAAAAGGAAAAGAAACAAAACAAAACAAAAAAATCTCAACACTTTTACCGAGTAAAAGAAAAAGAAAAAAAAAAAAGGATCAAAATTGTCGAAACTTTTTTCAGTTTGAACCAAATGCCATGAGGGTTAGGGGAGGAGGTTCACAGGGGTAAAAAGAAAATTGAAGGGGAAATTGTCGTTTTACCTTTTTTCTTATATTTTATTTTTTTATTTTTCTTTTCCCCTCTTGGCTGCCCAAATTTTTTTTACTTCATCATTTTTGTTTTTTTTTTATTTCCCTCTTTTCTTCAATGCTGACAAAGTTTTCTACTTTCCTCTTCCTCCCCCTCCTCCTTCTCCTTCTACTTTTCGTAGTCGCACTTAACGATGAGTTTTTTCAACGATTTTTTAAGGGTGTCTGAATTCACGAAGAACACAACGTACTCGTCGTTTCCGTTCTCTTCTATTCGTCGTTGAGGATGACTACTACTACTATTACAACTACAACTACAACTACAAATACAAGTACGACTTATGCGACGAGACTACTACTACTACTACTACTATTACGATCCACGTTCCCAACTGCAAAATGCATTTGCGTTTACTCTGACAACGAGCAGGGTCGTAAAGGATTGCCTCAGACTCCCTTCCCCTAACCTTCCCACCCTTTCCCTTCCAACCCCTTCCCTTTCCTTCCTCTCTTTCACTTGCTCTTACACACTCACACAAGGGGTGTCTATTTCGCTTTTCCTCTCACCTATACACTATATATATCCTCACACATACGAATAATACACATACATCCCACCCATATACAAATTTCTATCGCAAGCCCAAAGCTCTCGTACCACCACCACGACCAGCAGCAAACCAACCCGAATCCAGCAAACTTTCTCTTCGTATTGCATCGTGCAGCCCTTCAAATGCGTTCTACGTCTAACCGAGTACACGTTCACTCAAGTGTGACGCATACGCATACACCATGATTGAGAGAGTTAGTGTGTGTGTGTGAGAGAGAGAAAGAGGGAGAGAGAGAGAGAGCATACATTTCCGACGATAATTCACCTAATTTCGTCATATGATCACGAAACCGTAGATTATATGTTCGTGGATAGCTAGTTATTGGATATATCTAGGAATTCCACACGTTTTTGATTACCTTCTAAGACAAATAAATCAAATAATTGAAGTTTTTAATAAAAAAAAATAATTCCCGAGGATTATTCAATATTTATTTAGCAATTTTGATAAGCACGCTCGAAATATTTTCATCTATTTAAAATTTTTATACAATGGAAGGAAAACAAAAAACAAAAAAAAAGCAGAAAAATAACTCTATCAAATAAAACGTTCTTTAAACATTTCTTTTCTCCACAAATATTAACGATAGTCGTTTGGGTGGATTCATTTTTTAGAACAAAATATATTTTTTTGTTCATTGAAATGAACTAACTTTGATTGATACCTTGTTTTAAAATAACCATGTAATATAATCAAATTTTTAATTTAATTTAATTCAACGTTTATTCGATTATCTTGTAATTATTACGAAACTAAATAGAAACTAAAAAATAAAAAATAAAAATTGAAAGTGTAGAAAAAAAAATATTCAGATTTAAAATTGTTCGTACCATCGAATTGTTTATCGTACGAATCGCGAGAAGCTAGATAATAATATAATTTTCGTAAAACTAAGGTGAAAACATTATATATAAGTATTTGTAAGTTATGGTGGTGGTATGCTAATTAACACTAATTAAAACTATTCAAATGTGAAACAATTTGTTGTTACAGGGAAAGTTGGAAAATTTCAGGTCAAACTCTCACTCTGGCATATTTAGGTTTACGCATTAAATCCAGTCGGTTAATTGTCCGTTGAACATTCCTGAAAAGCTCTCTTCTTTACACTATCGTAACTATTTTCCTCCTATCTCTTTCACACATTTTATCGTTAATAATATAGACCACGAAAGACCGATAAAAATAATTTTATAATAAATATTACCTTCGTTAAATCGTATTATCCATCCAATCTTTTTTCCCCGAGAAAATCTGCAATAAGAAAATATTCAAATGATAACAAATATTTTACATTTTAAATGACATTTTTCATTTTTTTCTTATCATTTTTTTTAACATGTTACAATACTGTAATTTTTAAATATTATTTTGCTATTTATTTTTCAAATACTACGTATATATATATTTGTTTTCTTAATTATTCAATTTGTGTGTGTGTGATAACAAATTATATTTAAATTTATATATTTTTACTTTCGTAAATAAAAATCAAATTTAAAAAAAAATGTAATATATCAAAGTAATATCTTTTAGAATAATTTAATTGATACACGGTTGAATAATTAAGTATTCTATTCTCACAAGCATTTCATCTTAAATGTCATGAATACTATATTAACGCATATTCTCTGCGAAGAACGTAACGGTGCCACATAATTTGAATGCCGACAGTTTTAATATATATATGTGTGTGTGTGTGTGTGTGTGTGTGTGTTTTATATATATACATACTTTTACGGATTCGTTCATTCTACTATAATATCACAAAAAAATGGAAAAGAAGAGTTCAACAGCCTGTTAAACTGTAACATTTTTTCTCGATACTAACGACGAATCGATAACTCGAAAGAAACTTTTAATAACTTAACGACTTTTGTATCAATTTTATATTGCAAAAAAAAAAGGAAACGAAGCTGTATTCAACAATATTTTTATAATAATATAAATTCAATTTAATTCAATTAAGAAATCTCGACAAAATTCTACCTAAAGTTCGATCACTAGAACAGAAAAAATTTATGTAATAAAAATCATTATTACTTTTTAACTTGATGTTTATCGAGTGTTCATTTCTTTGTCTTTTTGATTATAAAAGTATAAGAAAACAAAAAAGAATAAAGTTAAATATATATATATATATATATATATATATATAGAAGTTCGTATCGAGTTGAAAATGGAAGTCAAACAATTACTCGGTGTTCCATTTTAATCAACAACTACAAATATCTACGGAACTCCAAACAGAACAAACTTAACGTATTAATATCCCATAAATAAAAATCTTTCTGTTTCATCTATAAAAAGGAAAAAAAGATAAATAAGAAAATATTATAGAAAAAAAAAACAAATTAAAAAAAGAAAAGAATCTACCCATTAATTAAATTATTGTCTATCATATATAAATATATATGAAGACCGCGGATGGAAGAATTGCGCTCAGGGACGGGAACAGTGGTTGGACTTGGTATTTGCAGCAATGAACTTTCGAGTTCCTATAATTCTAACTAATAATAATAATAATTATTATAATAATTATTATTATTATTATTATAAGTAAATAAGATATTAAAACAATTAGTTAAAATCCTGGAAATAAATTTCTTTCGTATATTTTAATTTATCGACAAATCCATCATCATTTTCAACAAATTCTTTCGAATCAAACAGACAATTGGTCAATTATCGATAACAACAAATTATAAAAAAAAAAACTTGTTATAACATAACAAATCTTTTGTACAAAATCAACCAATCAATTAAAAATTCTACAACGATCCCGATACCCATATGTAAATATAAAATACTACACCCAAAAACCAATATTTATGTCTTTCTATTTACACCGATGATAAAAAAAATAAAAAAGAAGCTTAAAGTGCTTACGTCTCTTTTTATTATTCTTTTTTTTCTTTTTCTATCGAACGAGTTGGTGTCGTCGTCCTTTTCAGAAGGACGACACGAGAGAAAGAGAGAGAGAGAGAGAGAGAGAGGGAGTGAGAAGATAGGAGGAGAGCTTATATTCAATGGGTTGGATTCTGAAGGCACGGTTAACCATAATAGAGAGCTCCTCTTTTACTGCTCCTCCGATTATTCTAGGGCGACATGTGTTGTACTTTAACGTTCGTTCACTCGTTCATTCGTTCGTTCATTCGTTCATTCCTTCCTTCCTTTTCCTACCCGTTCRACAACACAACACAACGGAAGAAAGACTGAAATATACCTTGGCAACCTAGGCTTCTAGCTAACCTAACTCTGTATGCAAGTTCATATAAGTATGTGTACGTGTATGTGTATATATATATATATATATGTGTGTGTGTGTGTGTGTGTGTGTTAGAGTTGGATAATTTTCACTTGTATGTTAGGAAAAGAACGCGTTGGCTAATGTGTGAAAAACAAAAGGTCGATGCAGGCGAGAACACACAACGTGTGTGCTGCTGTTGCTGCTTTACACAACCCAACGTTGCAACGTCAACGATGCATGCGAACCAATGGCTCGTATTCAAGTTATCCCGAGTTTTCTCTTATTACTTCTACTACTACTGTTACTACTATTACTACTACTACTACTACTACTAGGTTTATTATAAATATTGTATTATGTTTTTACTAACACTAATATTAATATTATATGTGTCATCACTAATATGGATGATGTATTCTTAGTCCAGATTTTCTTTTACCTTTTCTTCTTATTGATGAATGTATACCCTTTTTTATTAATTTTTTTATTTTTTTTTAAGTAAGAAATATTATTCTATCTATGAGATTGGATACTCTGATATGCAATTACTTCCCATTAAGATTTTTTAATATTAATTAATAATACAATTTTATTGTTTCCTACGTATTGATTTTCATTAATTAATCTTCATTACGAAACATTATACCCGATTGGTTTTTACAAATTTCCAAGTAATTTACATTGAATTATTTTTATTTAAAACTCATTTTTTTTTTTTTTTTAAATACTATTTATCAAAACAAAACAAAAGAAAATATGATAATATTGAATTATTAATGAGTATCATTTTTCTTTATCCTATTCCCAATGTAAAGAAAAATAGTAGATACAAATATGGAAATACATATATGTAAAAAATAGAAGTATACATATGTATTTTACATTTATACGTGTGCATATGTGTATATCTCTTCCTTTCTAGTGAAAAATCTCAAGAGAAATTCTTATTCTATTCTGAATGCAACTGCAAATTTGACGAGTCGATATTTTTTCGATATGTATTGAAAAAGCTATATATATATATATGTATGTATATGTGTGTACATACACATAGATTTCTTTTTGTGATAACATTCTCGAACAATGCTTGACGTGTGTTACTATGATCGATGTGTTCACGACGATCTACCTCTATCTGTCGTCATATTATTTTCATTCATATCTGTTTGCACTCAATTTTTATTTGTTTCACTATTATCAATTCTCATAGATTTCATTTGCTCTAGATGAATAATTTAAATAAACCAAAATATTATTTATTCATTTTCTTTCATTCTATATATTACAAAATTGAAATTAATTTTGTTAATTTTAACAAAATAAATTTTCTTACTATCATTTGCATACAACTCGTTTGCGTGTGTGTTTTATGCGAAATATAAAAAATAAAATAAAACAAAAATTTTGTCGCAGATAAAAAATATTTATCTGACCGTAGTAAAAAGATAGGGGTGGGAAGAAAGAAGGGGAAAAGAGGGATGGGATAAAACGAAAAAAAATCCCACAAAAATTGAAACGATCATTGGTTATCAAACAATAGCGGAAATATTCATCGAACTCAATTCCGAAGCACCAACCTCAAATATTTTCCATGAACTTTTTTATTTCAAAATTTAATACGTACGAGGGCTAAGGACGGACAAAATGGACGGATGAATGGACGAATCGTTGGATCGATGAAATCGTGCTCTCATTCGTAAACAAATTTTCAACGTGTGGTTTTATATCAAATAAGCAAACATACGTTCGTTACAAATAGCTCAAAAGTTTTCAATCGTGTTTGGTACAAATATATTCGTCGATAGATATATACTATTGTATCCCAATTCATAATATTTTATCTATCGGGTAAGATAGATGGAAGAATAGGAAGAAAAATAAATAAAAAAAAAAAAAGAAAAAACTAACAAATATCAACGAGTAAGAAAAAGAAAGAAGAATGACAAGTGTAGTGCAACGTCAATAGAATTAATCTATCCACCGAAAGAGTATCGAATTCGAGAAATTTATTATTACAAAGAACAAAGAAAAAATAAATGCAAAATAAAATAAAATAACTTAAAAATACAAAAATAAAATAAAATAACAATAAAATCGTTAGGACAATATGCGAAAAAAAGAATAAATAGAGAATGAACCGATTTACAAAGTGCGGTTGAATGAATTGAAAAAATCCATACGGTTTTAGTTTCGATAATCTACGACTGACGAGCCACATTCTATTTTTTGTTCATTCTTTTTACATTCGTTATTTTTTTCTCGTATGATTTTTAAACCAGCATGTACACGTTGAAAATACGAGACGTACAACATCGAAATTTCTGTGTCGTGAAATTGACGGCAAAGTGTGGGTCTTTCTCTCTCTCTCTCTCTCTCTTTTTTCAATCTTGGAAATACACAAAGAGGATCCGTACGATATCATGATGATTTTAATAACGAGCCACGAAATATCCATGAAAAACAGTTTTGCTTAAATCTATATGGGAACTACAGACAACCTAACGTTTAATGGAAAACACTAGCACGATTTTAGCCCTGATGAAAGGCTATAGCGAAGGGGACAACTAGAGAGAGAAAGAGAGAAAAAGGAAGAGTAGGTTGCGGGTAAAAGGGAGGGTGTGAGGATAGGGGTAAAGGGGGAGTGTGTTACATGCGACGAGGAAAATGAATCGCCAGCGGAATTTGATGTCCCTTCGACCTCGCTGGCACCAACTTTTAACCTCCGGGGTAATCGGGAATGCATGTCGCCTATAAGCCACTCGAGTTAGATACGTTTCCTGTTTTTCCAAAAGCTGCAAGAAGAGTAACGATAGAGACACAGATTTTAATGATTTACGCGTATCGTGCTTTTATCCTTGTCTAGATTGTATCCTTGTGTAGATTGTATACTTATATAAAATGTATCCCTTTATACAGGGTGATTCACCAGCTCTTGCAACCTAAACAGCTCCGAAAGTATGATAGTAGCAGAAAAATTGATAAGAAAAAAGTTGCATGAAAAATT